GTGAATGTTTAGGTGGAAAAAAGAGCACCACTCTTTAATGTGAACACATGAGCATTATTTAGACCTACATGATTGAAGACTAGGGGTTTATACACTGTGTTTTTTGTTTTTAGAGATGGTAGACTATTGTGGGTCTAGCTGGGACAGCTTTGTGGCTGATCCCTAAAAGAAATTTGAGACTGCTGATCAGGTGGAATCTGAAATTTCTACCTGTTTTTAACCCAAAAAACAGTTGACCATGGAATATTTTGGTAGCAAGGAAATTTTACGGATGGACTTATTGCACGCTTTACATGTGGCAACCTATCACGGTACCACGCTTGAATTCACTGAGCTCCTGAGAGCAACCCATTCTTTCACAAATGTTTGTGGAAGCAGTCTGCATGCCTAGGTGCTTTTAATTCATACACCTGTGGCCATATGGAACACCTGAATCCAATGGTTTTGGAGGGGTGTCCCAATACTTTTGGCAAGTATTTTTGGCATAGTGTGTGTATATAAGTGTGTGTATGTATATATGTATGTATGTGTGTATATATGTGTGTGTGTGTGTGTGTGTGTGTATGTATATATAGTTGTGTTCAAAATAATAGCAGTGTGTTGAAAAAAGTGAATAAAGCTCAGAATCCTTCTAATAGCTTTTATTTCCATACACACAAATGCATTGGGAACACTACACATTCTATTCCAAATCAAAACATGAAGAAAAATATATCAAATTTGTGTTGTTCCTCTAAACAAATTGAAGAAAAGTGAATATTAGACTGTTCAAAAAATAGCAGTGTTTGTATTCTTCGCTTACAAACTCAAACATTCACTATATAAACTGAAAAATGTTTGAAGATTTTGCTTTCCTTTGAATCACTTAATTAATATTTAGTTGTATAAGCACTGTTTCTGAGAACTGCTGTACATCTGTGTTGCATGGAGTCAACCAACTTCTGGCACCTGTGAACAGGTATTCCAGCCCAGGATGATTGGACTACATTCCACAGTTCTTCTCTATTTCTTGGTTTTGCCTCAGAAACTGCATTTTTGATGTCACCCCACAAGTTTTCTATTGGATTAAGATCCGGGGATTGGGCTGGCCACTCCATAACGTCAATCTTGCCATTTTGGCTATTCTTCTATCCATTCGAATGGTAGTTTTTCGCTTTCTTCCACGTCTTTCAGGTTTTGGTTGCCATTTTAAAGCATTTGCGATCATTTTAGCTGAACAGCCTATCATTTTCTGCACTTCTTTATATGTTTTCCCCTCTCCAATCAACTTTTTAATCAAGGTGCGCTGTTCTTCTGAACAATGTCTGAAACGACACATTTTCCTCAGAATTTCAGAGAGAAATGCACTGTAACCAGCATGTACAACATTTGCTGCCTTCCTTCCTTACATAAGGGCAATAATTGCCACCTGTTTTTCAAAGAATGAATGACCTCACTAATAGAACTCCACACTGCTATTATTTTGAACATGCCCCTTTCAATTAGTGATTCAATTACACAGAATCAGCAGCATACATGTCATGACTGTTGGGTCTGTTGGATTTCTATTACTCTACTACACCTGCTAGTAAATTATTTGCCATGTAGAAATATCATTTCTACCAAAAACAGTGATTGATCAGGTTAGTGATGTCTGACTGCTAATATTTTGATCACAACTGTATATATATATATATATATATATGTGTGTATATATAGTAATAATAGAATGATTTGTTATACACTGTACACTTCAGTTCAGGAGTACAGTTTTGCCCCTAGTTACCAAGACTAACTCTGGGCTCCATGCCACATCTGGAGGCAGGTTTTCTGATTTTTAACTGTAGAATCAAACAATTACAGAATGATGCCATAAAATCAATGGTCTATCTAGTCTTCTAGTCTGTCCATGTATTTAGTGCAGTGTTTCTCAACCTTGTTTTAGTCAGGGCACCCTTTAAAATTTCTGCGCAAACTCAAGGCACCCTATTCTACATTATAAATCTAAGTCAGTGGTCTCCAAACTGCGGCCCTTTGCTTGCCTTTATCTGGCTCTTTAGACATTATTCCTGCCACTGACACCAATAGGCCATAATTCCTTATACTGACAACAAAAATGGGGCACTATTTTCCCACACTATTTATTTCCCTAATACCAAAGATGGGGCATTGTTTACTCTCACTTGGTACAGTCTGGCTCCCCTAAAGTCTAAAAGGACAGTAAACAGGCCCTTTCTTTAGAAATGTTGGAGGTAATTTAGGCTGCATTCACATGTGTGTGACTCAAAAGTCGTCCGATTCCCTTTGTGACTTTACATTGCAACTTTAATACACCTTTGATGCAGCTTTGGATGGGTGGTACTTAGATTTGACTTTGGCTGTTGACTTTGACTGTTGTACAACTGTCGCATTGATAACATTGAGATGTGACTTCCATGCAAATTTTGAGCATTTACCTTGCATAGTACTCAAATCGTATAAAAGTCTCTTCATAGTAGTGCAGGAACCTTTTTAAAGTTGCTGTGACTTTAAGTTGCATAGATTTGAACAGCTTCCATTGGAATACATGGGCTGCGACTTGTCATACAACTTTATGACAAATTGCACAAGTGTGAATAAACCCTTATTCTTTCAAAGCAAATACACCTTTGCAAACTGGTACTGACTAGTATTCTAGCATTTCTTTTCTCCCTAAGTTTCTCGTTGACGAGGCTACACTGATAGGCGGCACTGATAGGCAGCACTGATAGGCGGCAATGATGAAGTGGCACGGATAGGCAGCACTGATGGGCACTGATAGGCAGCACTGATAGGTGGCACTGATGATGCTGCACTGATGATGCTGTACTGATATGCAACAATGATGGGCACTGCTAGGTGGCACTGATGGGCAGCACTCATAGGCACTGATGGGTGGCACTGACTGGCGGCACTGCTGGGCACTGACTGGCGACACTGCTGGGCACTGATGGGTGACACGGCTGGGTGGCGCCGCTGGGCACAGGTGGGTGGCACTGATGGGCACAGGTGGGTCGCACTACTAGGTACTGATGGGCACAGGTGGGTGGCACTGGTGGGTGGCACTGCTGGGCACTGATCATCAATGCCCTGATGATCGGTGCCGATCCGTCCTCTGACAATTGTTGGTTATCGGCAGTACTTTCCTAACACTGTGAGGAAAGTGCAGCCGATAACCGGAAACTGCATATACTGGTGATTTGCTGTGTCATTGGACACGGCTTATCATGTGGTAAAAGGGCCACTGTGATTGGCCTTTTACCACATCACGTGATCAGCTGTGTCCATAGGACACAGCAATCACAGAGATCGCCAGGTGTGCGCGCGGGAGGGTGCATTCTGGGAGGACGTCATATGACATCCGCAATTAACAAGGATTACCCTAGTGAGCATACAAAGCAGACTTAATTTGAATTTGCAGTATAAAAATGGTAAATAGCCAAACCATGCTTGTAACATACCAGCAACACCACTACTTCCTTGCAAATGGGAAGCACAAGATCCTACAGATTTGTGTGAACACAAAGTATGCTGCTACGTCATCCTGCAGGAATCAAGATTGGAATTTTCTCCTCACACAGCCTGTCCGCTGACCACTGAGGGATGTCAGACTTCGTCTCCTGCTCATAAGCAACTTTACCTTCCTGTTTGTGAGTGCATTTCATGGTTATTTTTCTTAATGACATTGGCTGTTTGTTTGGGGGCCAGTCACATGCTTCCCTGATGGTATGGCATGATGGATAACTATTTGGCTTTATTTCTCAGCATTGCAGACACCATTGATCCTGACCAAATCTCCAACTTTATTTGCAGAAATGCAGCCCCAAACATGCAAGGAACCTCCACCATGCTTCACTGTTACCTGCAGACACTTATTATTGTACCACTTTCCAGCCCTTCAACGAATAAACTGCCCCCTACAACAGCCAGATATTTCAAATGTTGACTCATCATTCCAGAGCATCTGCTACCATTTTTCTGCAACCCAGTTCCTATGTTTTTGTTCATAGTTGAGTCCCTTAGCCTTGTTTCCACATCAGATGTATGGCTTTTTGGCAACAATTCTTCCATGAAGACCACTTCTGACCAGACTTCTCCAGACAGTAGATTGGTGTATTTAGGTCCCACTGGTTTTCAACAGTTCTGTGCTGATGGCACTGCTGGACATCCTCGGATGTTAAAGGGATGAAAGCATGTTGTGTCTTTCTTCTGCTGCATTAAGTTTCCTTGGCCATCCACTGCATCTATGCTCCTCAACTTTGCCCAATCAATGGTGTTCTCAATGCTGAGAAAAGTAAGAAGGACAAGAAGTCCTTGAAGTGATAGTTTGGACCCCCACAGAGCCCTGATCTCAACATCATGGTGTCTGTCTGGGACTACATGAAGAGACAGCATGATTTGAGGGAGCCTACATGCACAGAAGATCTGTGGATAATTCTCTAAGATGTTTGGAATAACCTACCTGCCGAGCTCCTTCAAAAACTGTGTGCAAGTATACCCAGAAGAATTGATGCTGGTTTGAAGCCAAAGGGTATTCACACCCAATATTGATTTTGATTTAGATTTTTCTTCTGTTTGCTTCCTTTGCAGTTAGTAAATTGATTAAATTAAAACATACATATTTTTTAAAGGATTCTGTCTTTACAGCATTTCTTCACACCTGCCTAAACCTTTTGCACAGTACTGCATATAGAGTATATACAGATTTAACATCAAGCAAAACATTAAAGAGACATACTACAGTACAGAACAGGTTATCCCCTGTTTTAATGAAACAAAAGAAAGCAGCTGAAAGTTACACAGCTGAAATACCCTTTCTAATATACGGTATATTTTTTAACCACCTTCCGCCCGCCATATAGTAAAATGACGGGCGCAAGGTGGTTCTCTCATTCTCGGAGGACGTCATATGACGTCCTCCCCATCCTCACCGTGCATGTGTGGCTCAGGGAGCACGCAGCGCGGCGATTGGTGGTGTGCTGTGTCCCTCGGACACAGCGGATCACCGATCCACGGAAAGAGCCAAAGATGGCGGCTCGGTCATGTGATCAGCTGTGTCCAATCACAGATGATCACATGTAAACAGGGAAATGCCAGTTATCGGCTTTTATCTCCTCACGAGCTGTCACGCTGACAGAGGAGAGGAGAGCCAGTAATCGGCTTTCCACGGAGGGGACATGTACACAGATCATCAGGGCACTGATGATCAGTGTAGTCCCAGCAGTGCCAATTGTCAGTGCCCATCAGTGCCTTGTGTCAGTGCCGCATCAATGCCACATATCAGTGCCCATCTGAACTGCCTTTCAGTGTCACCCATCAGTGCCAGTCAGTGCCCGTCAGTGCCACCTAACCGTGCCAGTCAGTGTCGCCTACCAGTGCCAGTCAGTGCCACCTAACAGTGCCACCTATCAGTGCCATATATCAGTGCTGTCTTTCAGTGCCCATCAGTGATGCCTGTCAATGCCCATCAGTTCCACCTACCAGTGCCACCTATCAGTGTCTATCAGTGCAGCCCATCAGTGCCCATCACTGCAGCCTCATTAGCGCACATCAGTGAAGGAGAAAAATCACTTATTTACAAAATTTTATAACAAAAACTAAGAAAAAACTTTTTTTTTCAAAATTTTTAGTGGTTTTTGGTTTGCTTAAGAAAAAATAAAAATCCCAGAGGTGATTAAATACCACCAAAATAAACCTCAAAAAAATGATAAAAATGTCATATGGGTAAAGTGTTGCATGATCGCGCAATTGTCATTCAAAGTGTGACAGCGCTGAAAGCTGGAAATTGGCCTGGGCAGGAAGGGGGTATAAGTGTCCTGTAGGCTTGTGGTTAAAATATATTCTTCAGATTTTTTTTTAAAACATATAAAAAAAAGCCATTTTAACATATATTTAAAAATGCATTCCAAATATTTGAAATGTATCTTTAAAAAAATTTGTCATATATTTTGTAATAAAAATGCATTCCATCATAAGGTATATATATATATTTTGAAATGTACTGAATATGGCCAAAATTGTAGCATTTCATATATATGTGAATATATTTGGGAATAATATACTGTATATTTTTAAAAATATGTTTTTATTTAATATATTCTTCAGATTTTTTTTCCTCTTCCATTTGGGTTACCAATAGAAGGCACTTTTTTGAGTTAATACATACTTGAATAGGATTGTTTTTAGTGTCCCGCTAAGGCTGGCCATACATGATACAATTATCTTGTATAATTTTCCTTTAGATTTGCCAAAAACCATAAAACCTGAACAACACTTTCAATTCTATACAATTAGCCAGGCCCTTGCACTACGTAGTTGAAAGTAAATCTAAAGGAAATTGGGCAGAAATTGTATATAAAATTGTATAGTGTATGGCCAACCCTAAGTTTATATCCATCTTTAGTGATTGGGTTTAGGTGAACCTAAAGGCTAATTAAATATGCTTTCTGACTGCGTCCTTGTTAGCGGTTCACTGATTGACAGGGGCACTATTCCTCCCACTGACACCAATGATGGGGCACTATTCCTCCCACTGACACCAATGATGGGGCACTATTCCTCCCACTGATACCAATGATGGGGCACTATTTCTCCCACTGATACCAATGATGGGGCACTATTCCTCCCACTGATACCAATGATGGGGCACTATTTCTCCCACTGACACCAATGATGGGGCACTATTCCTCCCACTGACACCACTGATGGGCACTATTCCTCACACACTGACACCAATGATGGGGCACTATTCCTCCCACTGACACCAATAATGGGGGAACTATTCCTCCCACTGACACTAATGATGGGGCACTATTACTCTCACACTGACACCAATGATGGGGCACTATCCCTCCCACTGACACCAATGATGGGGAACTATTACTCCCACTGACACCAATGATGGGGCACTATTCCCACACTGACACCAATGATGGGGCACTATTCCTCCCACACTGACACCAATGATGGGGCACTATTCCTTCCACTGACACCAATGATGGGGGCACTATTCCTCCCACACTGACACCAATGATGGGGCACTATTCCTCCCACACTGACACCAATGATGGGGCACTATTCCTTCCACTGACACCAATGATGGGGCACTATCCTCCCACACTGACACCAATGATGGGGCACTATTCCTCCCACACTGACACCAATGATGGGGCACTATTCCTTCCACTGACACCAATGAAGGGGCACTATTCCCCCCACTGACACCAATAATGAGGGAACTATTCCTCCACACTGACACCAATGATGGGGTACTATTCCTCCCACTGACACCAATGATGGGGCACTATTCCTCCCACTGACACCAATGATGGGGCACTATTCCTCCCACACTGACACCCATGATGGGGCACTTTTCCTCCCACTCTAATAAAAAATTGTGAGCGCTAAAAACAAAGAAGCAGCCACAGCATCAAAAAGGATACCAAATAACCTTGCAAAACTCAAAGTATAAAAGATGCGGCGCTAAATCCAAGATAATAAATAATTATAAACCATATCACAAAGTGTCTAATGACCAAGGTGCCAATATAGTCAATGCAAATATATGGTGAGCATAAATCAAGTGACTTGTGTGATCACATGTATTCCGTCACTAACAAAGTGACAAGCAGTGCAAAATAGCAGTCTTACTGAAAACGTGAGAGATGAAAATCCCTCTCCTTCAGAGTGCTTCTTCCAAGCCGTGATAATGAAAAAAGTGAAGGCTGTGCAATCACCAGATACACAGTGTAACTGCGCATTTAGAGACAAATTTCTCTACTGGATCCGCTGATGACTCCTAAAGACTTGGATCTGGTCTGGCCAGGTATTCCTCAACCCGCTTAGTACTGCTGATGATCCTCGGTCTCTCCTTTAACTGGCTCTATGGGTAATGGATGGCATGTGCCTTTAAGTAGAGATGCTTACTGTCACACACATATTCCCCATTATCATCTGCTGAAAACCGATTGTACGTATATCCTCCATTAGTAGAAAGTTCTTTGAGACTACCCTTTTTTGTCAGCTTCCTTGCATCTGAAGGGCAAGTGATTTTGACTGTAAACCCAGAGATATCCACCTTGAATTTATTACTATTTATGTCTCCTAATTGTTGTTCATCAGTGTCTGCTACTGATATATCGCTGTGATCGGGTGATCCTGTAGAAGGTGATCGCAGGCAGAGCCCTGTGCTGCTCCTGGATGGGTCGGACACTCGCTGAGAACCTCCTCCCACACTGACACCAATGTTGGGGCACTATTCCTCCCACACTGACACCAATGATGGGGCACTATTCCCCGCACTGACACCAATAATGGGGCACTATTCCCCCCACTGACACTAATGATGGGGCACTATTACTCTCACACTGACACCAATGATGGGGCACTATTCCTTCCACTGACACCGATGATGGGGCACTATTCTACCTACTGTGGGAGGAATAGTGCCCCACCATTGTTGTCAGTGGAAGGAATAGTGCCCCATCATTGGTATCAGTGGGAGGAATAGTGTCCCACCGTTTTTGTCAGTGGAAGGAATAGTGCCCCATCATTGGTGTCAGTGGGAGGAATTGTGTCCCACCATTTTTGTCAGTGGAAAGAATAGTGCCCCATCATTGTTGTTAGTAGGTGGAGCTCTAATAGGAAGATGTGGAGCCTAAAGAGGAAGGGGTGAACTTTACAGACAAAGGGGTGTATCTTAAACAAGAAGGGGTGGGACACATTTAGATATGGGGGAGGGGCCTGATTTTAGTCTTGCCTAGGGCAGTACAAAACCAAAATACACCACTGACCTCATGGTAAGGTGACTAGATTTTCAAAATGAAATCCAGGTAACATCCTATTGCTTTTATTGGGGGTGGAGCGGGGGTTGGGAACATAACAGAATGCAAAGCACGCCACACTAAATGTTGGTTGTGACCACGCTAACAGTGGGAGGGGCCTAAGAGGGTATGATATATAATGACACCTAGGCCAAACTTTGCTCTGAGTCAAGAGTGCTGACCCAGGTGTGCATTGCAGGTCACCGTCACAAGCAATGGCAAGGCAACAAATAATCCACAACCCTACTGACAACAAATGAAGTCTGCACAAGCCAGGAGAGGAAGGACTGGGGCCACCATATAGTATTGCCATGTGAGATCAGCAATAAAGCTGGCCACACCACAAAATTGGGGACTAACATTAGGGACACACCCCATTTTTAATAGCCAGACGGGTAAAATACTGGTCAAGTGGAAACCTTAAATATGTAAAAAAACAAAACCTCAGCGCTCAGGACTTCCTATTTACCATATAAAACCCCGTGGGATGCTGCTGTGCACAGGTACAAAAGACCAAAAACTTTTAACAATGAAAACCAGCGCAAACCCACATAATCAATTACATTACTCAGTGTAAAAAAAACATTAATGTACTAATAAAATTATATATAATAAATTAAGTTGATACAAAAATATATATATATAAAATTATGAGTCCAGTGAAAAAACAAAGTGACAAAAAAAATCAGAAAAATATATATAATTAAAGTCCCGTGACAAAATTAATCAAATTAATTTATAATATATTTTCCATATGATTCTTCCGTGTTACGGATCCCTTCACCATCCACCAGTGCAGAAATCAACATTAACCGCACTCACCAGATAATGGTGAGTCACACGCCTTTCAGGATTGTTAAGGGCTCCTGGACCCCCTTTACTTTCTCTGAGACCTCCAAGTGCTGTTTCCTCTCATGTCTAGGTACCTCTTCTGCTTACTCCTCTCACCGAATCCCCCAAAGGAAAATCAGGAAGAAGAAAAGACCATAGCGTGATACCGCAGTAACTTCTCCTCAAATTAATCTCTCCAGACCACTCACATTCTTTTGCGGGATATAGCCCGCTTTTTATTCAAAACAACAGCGATTCTCTTCAAAATTGATCCACTTTTCATGTACACCGATTATATAAGGATTATATAAGGACCCCACAGTTTAGTGTGCAGCAGGATGGCAGACCATCACCAGGTCTGCCATCCTGCTGCACACTAAACTGTGGGGTCCTTATATAATCCTTATATAATCGGTGTACATGAAAAGTGGATCAATTTTGAAGAGAATCGCTGTTGTTTTGAATAAAAAGCGGGCTATATCCCGCAAAAGAATGTGAGTGGTCTGGAGAGATTAATTTGAGGAGAAGTTACTGCGGTATCACGCTATGGTCTTTTCTTCTTCCTGATTTTCCTTTGGGGGATTCGGTGAGAGGAGTAAGCAGAAGAGGTACCTAGACATGAGAGGAAACAGCACTTGGAGGTCTCAGAGAAAGTAAAGGGGGTCCAGGAGCCCTTAACAATCCTGAA